GCTGAATAAGCAAAAGTGATGAAGAAAGCTGATGGTGCCTGGCTATCAAAGGATATAGTGTCTGGGGTCTTAAAAGCTTGAAGGTAAACAAGTGGCCATCTAGCTCAGAAGCAACAAAGCCCACATGGAAGAACACATCAGCCTGTGTGATCATGAGGTGCCGAAGGGATCAGTTATCTGGCGTCAAAGAACAAAAAATTATATCATTGTGTGCTCACCTCCATGATACGATTGCTGGAGACAAATGGGTGCATAAGCAAATGTGGTGAAGCTGATGGTGCCCGGCTATCAAAAGGTATAGCATCTGGGGTCTTAAAGGTTTGAAGGTAAACAAGCGACCTCTAGCTCAGAAGCAACAAAGCCCACACAGAAGAAGCACACGAGCCAGACAGGGTGCGATGTAGCAACCATGAAAAATACAACTTTCCTCTAGTTCCTAAATGCTTCCTCCCCGCCCCCACTATCACGATCCAAATTCTACCTTGAAAGTCTGCCTAGACCAGAGGATGTACACTGGTACAGATAGGAACTGGAAACACAGGGAATCCAGGGCAGATGATCCTTTCAGGACCAGTGGTGTGAGTAGCGATACTGGGAAGGTAGAGGGAGAGTGGGTTGGAAAGAGGGAACCGATTACAAGGATCTATATGTGACCTCCTCCTTGGGGTCCGAACAACAGAAAAGTCAGTGAAGGGAGACGTCAGACAGGGCAAGATATGACAAAATAATAATTTATAAATTACCAAGGGCTCATAAGGGAATGGAGAGAGGGAGGGGAAGGGAGCGGAAAAAATGAGGACCTGATGCTGGGGACTACAGTGGAGAGCAAACGTTTTGAGAATGACGAGGGCAATGAATGTACAAATGTGCATTGTGATGTATGTATGGATTGTGATAAGAGTCATATGGGCCCCTAATAAAACGATTAAAAAAAAAAAAGCAAGTGCTCCTGGGAACTATATTCAAATTACATGCAATACTTGATGGTGATTATTATTAAAGTAGAATGTTTTAAAGGCACTCAGAGTATCAAAATCATCAAAAATCTTGTGTGTGAGAGAGAAAAGAGAGAATTTGAAAAATCTTTTTTTAAAACCACAAAAATATTGCCATCAAAATTGTGGTTGGAACCAAAAACATATGTGATCTTTTCTGTGTGCTGATAGTTTTCTGTCATGGCCTACACAGAGTCATCTGAAGATGGATTCAGAGTGCTTACGTCAAAATGAACCCATGGGCTTTGGGGTGTTCTCCTTGAACAGAGAAAGCAAATAGCAAACGTCATTACAAATGACAACAGACCGGCTATCTATAATGAAATCCAGGGCCGGTAAATACCACTGAATGAAACAACAACTCTATCTGTTAGCCCATTCCTAAGTTGCTCTGCCATGATGAAAGCAGTTATTTATTCAGTAGACCCCAGGTGAAGAGAAAACATTTAAAATTTCATTTCCTACAAAGGCCAATGCCTTGGGAACCCATCCATATGGGTATAAATGTTCCTATCATTGTTTTTGTGATTTCCGCTGAAAGGGCTTTTCCTGCTTGATACATCATTGCATGTTGTGGGGTCTGGTCTCAAGGTTTTTCAGGTATTAAAGCACAAAAGATATTCTAGATTTTATTAGGAAGAAACTTTGTATAGAGTACTTCAAGAAAAATCAGCCGTTGTCAGTCTAGTAGAAAAGCGACTGTCCGTCCACCAGGGTGGAGGAGAGGCTACAGTTGGGCACTGATCCTTAAAATCAGCAGTTTGAAACCACCAGCCACTCCTTGAAAGAAAGCTGTCAGGGGTTTTAACTTCTGTAAAGAGTTACATGCTCAGAAAGGCACAGGAGCAATCAAATGCACAAGAAAACCAAATGCCGCCGTCAAGTTGATGCAGACTCGCATTTACCCTATTCCTATAGGGTAACTGCGAGTCTGCATCAACTTGACGGCGGCATTTGGTTTTCAGTCTAGACCCCTAGAGGGTCTATTACATTTCTGTCAACTCATCTGTTCTTGTTATGAGCAATTTTCAATACAGAACACCACAAATGACCTTGTTAAAGCAGAACACAACTGGCACGGATTCTCATTAGCAGTATGTTTTCAATCAACTTACATGCGCACAGAACATTTTTATTACAAACAAGTATGAAGGGGCTTCATAAAGTATGTGGAAAAGTTGGATTGAAAGAAAACAGAATTTTCCCACAATTATAGGGGATTTCCTATTTACCGAAAGAGCCTTGGTAACACAGCAGACACTCCACCAGGCAGTTCTACTCTGCCATATAGTATCACTAGGAATTGTAATCAACTCCGTGACAGTGGGCACAGGTCACAGTTATTCCCTTGTGAAATTTGAGTCTTTTAAATGCCTAAGAACCTCCTCAAATCCCACCCCTTCACCTCCATAAAGAACTAGAGCCATCTATTCACAGGATTAAGGCCATAACTATTCTTTTGCCCTTTGTATTAAAAAAATTTTTTGACAGAATACAGTAACTCCTACGAATCCATGAGAAGACGTGGCATCCCAAGTTCTTCATGGGCATAAAGACGGCAGGACATGAGTAAGCACCAGTGAAGGGGAGCTCGGAATCGAGCATCTGCACAGAGCACTCAGATGAGTCAGCTGTCAGGTGAGATGATGAAAACAGCACAGATCAACCTAAAATTTGAAACAGAGCAGCAAATGTTAAATTTGAACCAAATAATGAAGCAATCAAGGCTCTGAAGGCCTCTTGACAGTACATAATTCATGCCATTCTAGATGTTTGTGTAACACCCGGAGAAAGTACTTCATTACAAAGGGAGTCTTAAGGCTTAGGGCAGTTGGGCTTAACTCTCTCAAAACCCTGGTTGGGAAGGGTCATTCCAGGTGTTTGCACATCAATGGATGTAATTAGGCATTGAGGTAGCAACCAAATGATTTCTAAGGACAAATCCATTGCTAGGCAGTGGAAACACATGCCTGGGAATTTCCCCACTGATTTCCATGTTATTTCATATTCTTTGCCAGCGGACTATCGATTCTATGAATCCCTTTAAAGAACTACCTTTGAATTGCATTAATTGTTTCCATAGTTTTTTTTTTCCCCTCACTTGTATCTCAGCTCTGATTTTCATTCTTTCCTATTGCTATTAGGGTTGTCTTATTGACTCTGCTCTAATTGCTGTCAGTTTTGTGCCAGCATATCAACCCTAAATCTCTCTTCCTTTTTCATGCGTACATGTACTGCTATCAGGCTTCCTCTGATAAATGTCTTTGCTGTGTCCCAAAGGTTTTGGAACATCAGATTTTCATTCTTGTTGGCTTCTCGAAACTTCCAAATTTCATGTCTGATCTGGGCCAATAGCCGCTCCTTTTGCAATAGAGAATTATTTATCCTCCAATTGTTTGCCCGTTTTCTTAATCATCCTTTTGTTGACTTCCAGCTAATTCATATTCTTGAATTATTGGTTCTTTATACTACTCTCCTCAGAAAAATCTATGAAACTACACACAAAAAAAAAGCTATTTCATCCCACCTGCGGAGTGAAAGTAAACAAAAAAAAAGGAAAGCCTATTTCCAATTATATAAAATCCTAATTTTACTAATTCATATAGTTATTGACTCAAAAACCAAAGCCATTGCCATCAAGTCAATAGACACTCACTCTGGCCTTACAGGACAGAGTAGAACAACCCCTGTGGCTTTCTGAGCCTATATCTCTTTATGGGCACTGAAAGCCCTTTCTCCCGAGGAATGAATGGTGGTTTCAAACTGCTGATCTTGAGGATTGAAGCCCAACTCATAATCACTATTCAACCAGGGCGCTGCCTCAGTGACTCGAGTGTAGAGAAGTCAGGAATAAACAAGTGCAACAGAACAGTCAGACAACAGAACAAGTTCACTACCTTCTCTGCAGAGAGCTGCATGTGTTCCTCAAAGCTTCACACTGGGAGTCCCTGAGGATCTTCTGTGAGGATCAAACTGTGAGGATCTTCACTACTTTGACCAAAAGTGGCTGATTCACACCCACCCAGTGGCATCTCCAAAGGCAGGCCTGGTGATCCGCTTGGAAAAGGTCACAGCCTTGGAAATCCCAGCGAACAATTCTTCTCTGCACACACGGAGTTACCAAGAGTTGGAATCAACTCAATCCTAATGAACAACTTCCTTTTAACTTCTAATTTTCTTCCAACTCTGTCAGTTGTTAGATCAAAAAATAGTGTCAAAGCCACTAAATTAACTTTCAGAAGCTTATTTCCAGCACTGTTCTAAGATGCCACCAGGCCAGCCTGGTCTCAAAGTAAAACCCCCAAGTAGCTACACTCTGGTGTGGACGTATGGCTCCTCTCTACACCAACAGTGTTTTCTTTATCCATGTCAGAGCACCCTATTTCTATAAGAACACCCTGCCTAACAAATGCCTCTAATTTTTTTTTTTGGGGGGGGGCCTCTAAAAGTTTTTTATTTAAGCTATTTTTTTCATAATTGCAAAAAAAAATTGCTTGATGCTACTGAAAATAGACGAGTTTATAAAACATGTAGTCTTAGCTAATTTATTATAATACATATCAAATATAATGGAAAAGTGAAGTTTTTTCTCTTCCTTACCCAAACCCACTGCCATTGAGCCCATTCAGAATCGTAGCGGCCAGCCCCATGTATGGCTTCCACGACTAAAGCCTCCAGAGCAACGGCCTCATTGCTCCCCTGTGGGGCCCTTGTGAGTTTAAACCCATCTTGCAGTTAGCAGCTCAGCCCCAGTTCTGAAATTTACCCTAAAGCCTCCTGGACAGTTGCCACATAGCAAATGGCTGTCCATAAACATTGCATGACATCAACAATTCTACTGATAATTCTAATAAGATGGTTACCTTCCAAGGAACAGATAAACTCAAGTTACCACCAGGATTTTGAGAAACCATGTAAAGGCAATCTAGTATTTTCAAATACACAGAATCAGGATGGTGAATATATGATGAAGATGTAGTAAAGAATATAAGTCTACACTGAACATATGTGGAAAAGATATTTAATTGTAAAATAGAAAAGTAGCCCAGAATACAGTTTTAAGGGTAATTGCTTCTTTGTACAGTATAGATAATGTAGAGGGGTTTTAGGAGTAGATAAACATTTTCATAAAGCAATAAAACACACTGAAAATAATAAAGCAAGCGTGTGCATGGGGGATGAGGGCCGAAGCTATGTTTTACAAAAAAACAGAAAGAATCGTATGGCAGAGTTAGAGCCCGTACTCTGTAGAATTGAACAATCTTGTGATGAGTCACAGCACAGACATACAGCTTTCGCAGGGAGGAGGAAAAGTAATGTTACACAGCTAACGCATCACCATAGTTCAAAAAGTTCTTGTTCTACATACAAAAAGCTTTTCTTTTTTCATTTTTTAAATTTTAATTCCGTTAGAATAATCTCCTGGGGAGGAAATGAGTCCAGGGAGTATTTTAGAAGCCCATATGCATCGGGTTTCTTCCCAAAAAACATTATCGTGAGATCCAGTGCCTTAAAGTGCTTACATGTGGAAATCATGATGGCAGGCACAGAATACAGGTTCACGCGCTTTTATGAAATTCTCCAAAAAGCAGAGATTTTGCAAATTCACGTTACCGCGTGTAAGCTGCTCCTTCTAAGAACACTGTCACTCCAATAAAACTGTCTGCTAGCTTACTTCATTTCACTGGCCTAGACACTAATAGCCTGTCCACATCCCCCACCCCTTACGACCTTTCATCACCTCCGTGGGAAAAATACCTATGCAAACGATGCGCTCTGAAATTAGAAAACATGCAAAATATGTACAGACATAAAATTTAAAAAATATTTGCTTCATATACATGTAAATCTACTTGGGTGTAGCAGAAAGTGAACAAATATAAAAGTTTTGCTTTCTTAAAAAAACGTTTTCAGAGAATCTGAGACAACTTTAAGCTGTGCAAAGAGTTCCCGAGGAGAACTCTTCTCTTCACAGAGTAGTTTCCACCTGCGGGAGAAATTCCAGCATCAGTCCACCACATAATTATACACATTTGGTCTAACCAACAACCATCACCCTTAAAACTGTTCCGTTTCTGAGAAATTAAGGTTCATACTAAAATCGGAAAGAATTCACAAAAACAGCGGCTTGTTGTGGTTTTTGGATCTCATAAGCAGTCTTTATCAACTCATTTGGAACTGTAAAAAACAAAACAAAAACCTATGTACAGAATTCTGTTTTAAATACATTTCACTTCTTAAGTTTGTATGTTACAAGAATTCAGAGCTCATGGCTTTATGTCCGTCCGACCTGCAGCCTCTTCTCTTGTCCTGTATCCCTATGACTGGACCCGTGCGGTGTACAGTTCCGATTGCATCCTTGCTTGACCACAACTAAAACCAAACAGCAGTCACAGCTGGCACTAGACGGCTTCTTTGTGGGTCTGAAGACGAGTCATGGCTTCCAATTGCTGCCTGTAGGCCTCCGCCTCCTGCTCCTTCTTTAGAAGCTGCTGTCGATATCTTTGTGCTTCTCGGTTTGCTTCGTCCAGCTGTTTCTGAAGAGCTTCTCTCTCCTGGTTAAAAAAAAACAGGTTTACTTTCAACTCCCGCCTGACTACTTTATTAACACACACATGCATGCATGCTTCCAATAAGAAGCTGGGAGCAGTTCAAAGCAGGCACGCTACTGAAGTTTCCTAGACAGCTTGTTATTTCAACCAATTCAGTGACCATTAGACCCTGCATTAGGGGCCCTATGCTACGACACACTGATGGCAGTTCCTGAGCCCCAAGAAATTATTTCCTAATGAGAAATAAGATGAGCCAAATGAACACAAATTGGTTATCTGAATCTCTAGTGATGCTTTAAGGATGTGGGGTAGACATATAATCCTAACTCTTCATACCTATATATTTGGGTAAAGGCAATAGTTACAAAGTAACTGATTACTAATTTTATTGAGTAGCTACTATATGACTGAAGTGATGTGACTTCTAATAACAAGTCTCTTAGATCGGTCCATTTTACAGGTGAGAAAAATGATGCTCTGAATGATTATCATTTTCTCAACTTTAGACAGTGAGAAAATTGGGCATATGAGATTCTGATATTAGTTTTTAAATCTATATTCCTCATCATAAAGATAAACGTGTAAATCTTGATTAGTGTTTTTCTTTAGTCATTAAAAAAATTATTTAATCAAATACCTCAACTCTGCCCCATTAAAATTATACTGGTAGAAAATATATGTGGTTAAACTACTCAATAAATCAAGGGTTAAAATACAAATCTAGTCCAACAAGCATGGAAATCTCCTCTTCCCGGCCCTCCTGCTCTCCAATTGTCTGGAGAGAGCATTTCAAAGAACCCTTTACTTCTGGTGAAGCACAGGAACAACCACTGCACCCTGCATCCCCTCAAGAGAGGACTCCGAAGTGAAGCCGCCGTTACATTACAGGGGCGGGCGGCTAGGACCTTTGGGTGGGGTACATGGTCTGAGGAGAATTACTAAGGATAGAAAGGCCAGGCTCCCACTGGACATTGACCAGAAGGAAAAACTGATGGTGAGGGCTCAGCAGCCTCGTGGGAAAGAGAGCGTATTGCCCACTATGAACACCGAATGCCCTTCCCACTTTGGTTATTTGTCTGGTTCACTAGGAAAAGCAGACATGACCCTCATGCCTTCCTCTGATCCTGACCTTGCCCCACTCTGGAAGTGAAGCACAGAGATTTCTGTTTCGCATAACTCCTGAGCTGTAGATGTCATTATTTCAGCCACAAATCTTAAAATGATTCAAAAATGTACAAGTTGAGAAATGAGTGCCCCTCATCTGTAATATTACTATTGACCACACCCCTTGCTGCTGTCTCTTCTCACCTTTGACCCAACTCCAGGTAAGGGGACAAAGCAGGAGCAAGTCAGACCAGAGACACAGGCACCGCGTGTAAGGAAATGAGCCCCCAGGCAGTGCCCACTGCAGGCTTTTGAATACTCTGCTGGATGGTGTATGTGGGGGGTTGGCTGCTGCTCTCCAGGAACCAAAGTCCACCGTAGAAGTACTCAGAGCCATGCATATGTTTTAAATTTTTATGTGTCAAAAAATAAGATTCCTTGATAGCAAAAACTTTTTAAATGACTAAGAATATGTCCAACTTGGTAGGAAATAGCTCTATACATCTTCCAACTATTTTACCGGGGGCAGGGGTATTTCAAAAATTTCATTTAAAAAACAGAATTAAAAGATAATGAAAAATTCCCATAAACTTTTAAAAGCCCCCCATTCGTAAGCAAAAAACTACACAAGCAAACTGAGTAAGGTAAACTGTCAAACAGAAAATACAGCTTAACTTTAGTTTTGTTTTGGTTTTTTTTTCTTAGTTTTCTTATTATAAATTTATTTCAAGCAGTAGAATGTATTTTAATATAAATGAAAAGATAGTTCCCTTCTGTCTGTTGGGCTAATTAGACTCCTTTACAATGCATTTTAAAAAAAATGATTAAATCTATAAAACCCAGAAAGCAAAGATCTTTGAGTCTGTTTAATCCTTGAGACTCAGAGCATGAGCGTGTCCCACTTTCCATCTACTCCTCAGGAAGACAGACACCGGGAGAAGCACCTCCTCATTTCCACCTCACTTTTCAAAGGAAAGGGAACTCTAACTCCACATTGTACTCAGAGGCCCTGTGTGCTCAAAGTTCTATGTCCAACGATGAGTGCACATACGCTACATGTAGGGACGTCCCTTGACGCAAGCAGGTATTCGCGTCTTCCCCCCACGGGTGGTGCAAAAGACTAACAGCTGAGATTATATTTGAACAGGCCAGTTCAGTGGTTTTCACCTATTGCAGTCAAACCACTGTTTCCCCCTAACAATCTAACACTGAAGAATTCTAAGAAAAATAAAGGTGGGCAATGATCACGATTTCGTAACAAGGAAGATCTATCTTAGGCCAAAATTCCAAACCCAAACACTATGTGGGTATTGGATTAGGCAATGTGACAACAAGGATAGAACTGAGTTTGCTTTTTAATTTTCAAACATTGCATTTGAACATTGTTTTCACTAGCTGCAATTGATTTTCACATGTCACTGTCAAACACTCAAATGTACATTTTGCTTTGGTTATAAATAGAGCAAAAATCATTGTAGTGATTTGTATAAACTGTAGAAGGATGATACTAATAGTGACACTGAGCATTTACTACAAGACCAGCTGTTACACAAGTCATTCACATGCATTCTCATTTAACACTTATAAATAGCTTATAACCTAAGTTCCGTGAGTTTTGCCATTTTTTTTTCTCATACAACCATGAAAGTTTAAACAATTGGCCTAAGGTCAATAAATCAAAGTTCAAACCTACAGCCAACTTCAGACCTATTTTTTTAAACTAATAATAATGTTTTTTATCCTCGACCACCCCCAAGGAAGAAAGTAAACGGAATATGTAAACTGTCTTATTTATTTTCGTGCAGACGTGAATTTTGTAACTGCTACAGGTCAATATTTTAAATGAGGTTTGCATAAGTAAAGTGTAAAGAAAGAGAGCCGGGCCCATTTGTCTCCACGTGGTATCTGGCTGTTGTCCTGCTCCAGTGAGGGCTGAGCAGCTGCAACAGACATTCATGGCTTACAAAGCCAGAAAGGGTTACGTTCTGACTCTTTACCAAAGGAGTTGGCGTAGCCACCTTACCTCTAGAAGAGAGAGATATGAAGAAAAGATACGATTACAGAAACATTTAAAACTTTGGGCATCTATTTATTTTGTAAAACACTATACTAACAGCTCACAGAAATAAAAATGTTAAAGAGCAAGGACCTCAGTCTATCCCTGGTTAAAGGATGTAACTAATTCATTAAAAACAAGCAGATAAAATTTGCTAATATTTTCATCTCTACCCTCCACTGCAAATAAAAATGTCAAGGCATTTCTTTAAGTCACAGAACTAGTATGTGACAGAGGGCAACCGGACACGCCCAATGGCTACTTGCATGTTCTTTCTCCCACGCTTACAAACAAGAATTGTCATTTCAAATCAGAATGAGCTAATGCTGTTTCTTATCGAAGAAATCGGTAAACAGCACACTTCTTCCAGCTCTATCTTCAATGCAGGCATGTTAATACAAGGCCAAAATGATATAATTATTGCAATGTAGTATGTTATTCATTGCCTTCCTCTTCAAAAGATAACCCTATTTCATTTTCTATATTACTATAATGGCAATGTACAGAAGACACAGAACTTAAAAGTGTATTTGCTACAGTTTAAAACGTTTTTCCAGAGATCACTGGTAAACGTCTGCATCCTTTGTTGGGAAAGGCTATCTATAAATTCTAAACACCTTCCTTGCAGACAATCAACCTGATGGTTGCAGACATACACACAGGGAACCCAAGCAACAGCAGAGTCTATACTCCAGTCCTTTAGACAAGGTTTCTCAACCTTGGTATAAGTGGTTTTATACTGGAAAATGCTTGGTGGTAGATTGTTCCACAGCATCACTGGTCTCTCCATAGTAAACGCCAGTGGGGCTCACCCTCCACCCACAACCCCCAGCCTTGAGTCACAACAATCAAAACTGTCCTCAGAATTGCATCCCACTGCTTTAAAGAAATGGATTTAATAGTCTTGTTGTCATGCAGAACAAATAAGAAAATCTGTCCCCAAAACACCTACATTGGGCACCTAAGAAAACAAATCAAAAGAATCACTCCATGGACAGAAGGAAATAATTACCTACTTTGATGAAAACATCTCTTCATTCTAAATCCGAAGCCGGCCTCTACCATCTATTTTCAACTACATGCTTCAGGGCTTGCCTGTAACAGCCTTAATTGGTCATGCAAGCTTGACTTGAATCCTTCTTGAGATAGAAAATAAGAATTCCACCCAGAAAACGCTAATTATCAAAACAAAATGAAACGCTCTTCTTTATACCAAACCAAACATGTATTACCATAATGGTCCATCTCCTTGGCCTAATCAAGCTATACATATGAAGTCACACTGCTGTTACATGTAATCATTGCTCCCTCATCTCGGAAAGGCTGAACTTTTACCTAAGTAAAGGTTTGAACTGCATGGTGGTTTTCAAAATAAAATTTGTTGTGTGGAATAGCTTTTATGTAATAAAAATTCAAGTAATTTTAAAATACTTTACTAAATAAAATATGCTTGGAAAAGATTTTCTGATTTATCAGAAAAATATAAGCCAATAAAAAGATTATTAAATAATAGTATGCTGATAATGTTCAGTGGATCAATTTCTATGAATAAACATTTCAACATCTAAGTTCACTGAAAGTTCTTTTTTTTCCCACTGTAAGTTCTGAAGAAATAAAACAAACATCCTTCAATAACTTTATTAAGTCATAATTCTACCAAACTTCCTACTTTAACCATGAACTGCTCAAGACCCCTTTTAATTCAATAAAATATTACTTGTGATTAATCTGAAAGATAAACCAGTCTTATATTTACGTGAATTGGGGCAAGGATATTTTCTAATTGCTTTTCATCAGAATCGGTACCTTTCCATAATTTTTTTAAACGTTCTTTTTCTATAACTAGAGAACCTTTACAAAGAATTACTAAATATTCACCCACATTCATTAGGCAAACATATCACATATAATGAATATAGATATATATTAGTATGTTAACTTTTTCAAATCTTGTAAAAAAACAAAAACAAAAACCGAAAAAGTAGAGATTACTATTCTAAATGCCAATTTAGAAGAATTTAAACCTGAAGCTCAGAAAGAAAAGGTAACTTGCCTCAAACCTACAATGGGCAAAAGGTGAGATTTGAATCCAGCTCATTTGACTTCAGGGTCTACATCCAGTTCTATACGATGACACCGAATTTAAGGGACATAATTTCATTTACAGTCATATGAGAAAAAGCTCTTCGGGATAATTGAGATTTAGTTACACTTAATAAACTAGTTTGGGAGAAAGGCAAAAAGTTGAATCCTGAATAGCTAATGTAAACTGATGTAACTTCCTTATAGGACTTAACAGTAAAATAGCCAGGTACCTGCCACATACTACAAAATAGCCAATTTGACAAATGTCAGTCTTCTTCAAGAGGATTCCCCAGCCCAATCTGGTAATTACATTTCCTTTTTGCAAGAAAAGAAAAATTGTGGTCCTACATGGTGAAATTTTCTTTTGGCGATTTGTGAAAATGGACACATGTAAGTTTAGTAGGAAATAAGGATGGAATGCAAGAACCAAAAACACCCCAATGTTAATATAATGACACACTTTGTTACAAACAAATTCTTCACTCACTCATTCACTCATTCAATATTTATTTATTAAGGGTTTCTATATGTGTAAGGCAAAAACAAAAAGACATAATGAAAACACCGAGCACTTTCATTCCATAAGAAAACAATACTTTTTATCATAAGTATAAAGGACAAAGAATGATAATGAAAGAAAAGCAACTGAATTTATTTCTGGTGACTGCAGCAAAGCACACCGGGTAAAAGACTCCTTACTTCTATTTCTGCAGATTCCACCCGGTTTTCAATTATTTCAATACATTGTCTCTTAGCTGGTGGTTCTTCGCTTATAACAGTTTCTTCAGCTATGTCTGTTGCTGGTACTGTTAATACTAAAATGAAAAGATACATATTCATACATAGAGATACACATTGCTTCATTTCTAATAGCTTTAGGAAAAAGTTATTTCTGAGTATATATGTTCCAAAACAATAATTTCAAAAGACTGATTGGTTTTTAATGAGGAAATTATTATGTCTTCCTCACTTCTTGCTTTCATAAAGTAATCTGATTACTGAAAGTATGTACTTATTTATTTCAATGAGTAATAATTATTTATTGATGAGGCAAAAATCAAACCAGTATTTAGCAATCATACTTTAAGAGGTCTCGCTCATACTAACACAGATAATCACTTTTATTAGTTCCTTTTGTTATTCTTTTTGTTGTTTTTTGTTATTCTTATGTGCATCTATGGAAAAGAAAACATGAAGATACCAGAGTAAGTAAAAAAGTATTGCTACTGGGATTCCAGTTCCTGTAACACACACAAAAATGTTTGAAAGCGTCCCTGCAACCAGCCCCTGGCTCAGGAAAGTTCTCTCAGACATATACTTGTTTTAGTCTTGTTAAGGTACCAGTCCAAAAAAAGCTCAATTAAAGCAGTGGCTCTCAAGGGAATCTTCTGGGCCAGTTAAATTCAATGACGAGAGGGCAACTCAAAGGACTATAGTAACTCAGCTAAGTCCACGTGGAAGAAGCACACCAGCCTGGGTGATCCAAGTTCTATACATAATAAAATCCAAATCTCGGGGAAGGCATGGTAGTAGAGCTTGAATTCTGAACACCCAGTTGCAGAAGGATGACAATGAAAGCCCAAAATTCATTTGCAAAATCTCCAATGCAAATTAAACATCTGGTGAATCCCCTCTGATAAGAGTCCATGAATGTAAGTAGCCTTGCTATCAGAGAGCATTTTAAAGTGGATTGTAGCAGATGTAGGTAGGCTAAAATGTTAACACCTTGTCATTTGATCTCTCTTTTGACTCATTTTAAATTTACTCCAGTTTTTAATAGTTTATGTTATCTTTTTTAGAGGTTTTTCTGTTTCATTTTTTTTCATTGTTGGTTCTGCTGTTTTCTATCTTTGTTTTGTAATGTTTTTCTGTATAGGAAATCCAGGATAGGTCAATCTATAGAGGCAGTATCTAGATTAAAAATTTCCTAAGGCCCTGGCAGGGGAGGAGATTGGCGGAAATGGGGAGCCAACAACAGTAAGTACAAGAAAGAAAAATATTCTAAAATTGATTGATGATGACTGAACAAATCTAATACAATTGAATTATTGAATTGTATGGTATGTGACTTATATGCCAATAAAACTTTCTTTCTTTTTTTAAATAAAGGTGAGGGTGACAGTTTTCCTGAATTCCAAAAAAGTGATCTTGATAGATTTCTTAAAGGGCCCAGGATAGTCACAAAGGACCGCCGTGAAGAAGCACCAAGACCCGAAAAATGCATTGTGAAAAAAGGCCGGAAAGCTGCACAGAGGATTTTCCCCGTTACAGTCACCTGCTCATTCTTCAAGGGTCGCAATAATTGTCCTGTAAAAATTGCATTGGCAGCAATGGTGTAATACATGAAAATAAAAATAATTTATAAATTATCAAGGGTTCATGGGGATGGGAGGGTGGGGGCGGGAGAGGGAAAAAACAGGAGCTGATAGCAAGGGCTCAAGTAGAAAGAAAATGTTTTGGAAATGATGATGGCAATATGTGTACAAATGTGCTTGATAATTGATGTATGGATTGTTTCAAGAGCTGTAAGAGCTCCCAATAAAATGATTTATTGAACATTTTTTTAAAAGGAAAACTCATAACATGAACAAAAAATAGAGTGATATAGCAATAAATGTACACTATCAATCTAACAATAAATATGAAAAAATCAATTTGAGAAAGAAAAAAAAGAATTGTGGCAAACCTCACCCCATCCAACCTGCAGTCCTGATCTTGGCCCCTTTAGGCTACTTTTGTTTACAAAATTCAAAGAACATTTTAAAAGAGCACAAGTAGAGAGAGTCTCCTGAGGCTGCTACCACTGTCGTGGTGAGGAGCTATAACCCAAGAGCACAGAATTCCTCAGGGAGGGACAGGGAGGAGGAGGCACAGCCTTCAGAATGGGTGGTCAAACAACACCGTCCCACTCACCAAGCTTCTACGATTGTGTAGCAATACTTTTGGACTTACCCCGGAGGTCTCCTTTTTCTCCCTTTTGTATACAAAACACAGCACATGGACCCAGATGCACTGCTCTGTATCCTGCTTTCTCACTCCACTTCTACAGGATATCCTTTCATACCCGTACAGAGAACTTCCCTTGGCTCAGTTCTGTAATATCCCATGTTGTGAATACCATTCTGTATTCATTTCCTTTGCTGGTTTAGCAATTGAGTTTTGGATTTTATACACATGTATATACAATTTTCTATTTGTTACATTAATATAATATTAGCATTTTACATTTAGTAATTAGATAAGTGTAATACAAAAATTATACAGATATAAAGATAAAAGGGGGCTTTAAAAAGTTAACAGAAGGATGGAATTAAATTCACTGGGTGCTATTACAATTGTTTGGGGACATTTAAGTTTTTTTTAAAACATTAAAAATTCTCTATTAAAAAAAGGAATTGAGTATAATGGCTTAATTACACAGTTTGTTTGTTTTTTAATTACACAGTTTTTAAAAGGTAAAAAACCTAAAACAAAACACAAACTCACTGCCATTGAGTTAATGCTGACTCATAGTGACCCCTAGAGGTTCTGAGATCATCATGTGTTTAAGAATAGGAAAGTCCAGTCTTTCTCCCAAGGAGCTGCTGGTGGATTCGAACTGCTGATCATGTGGATCACAGCCCAACTCACAACCACAACACCACCAGGGCTCCTCCTTTAAAAGGTAAAGCTGATATTTATTTTGTGCAATGACATTTACAACATTAGGAGGGAAAAGTGAGGTTTGTTTTGCTTTTCTTTTTTTTTAACTTATCAAGTGTAGCTTGAACAGACTTGTCTCCTCTTCAAAAAACTTAAAATAGTATCTTTTCTATGCTTGAGCAAATTGTCACTCCTTTTCAGTCTGGAACAGCTACCAAATTTTGTCCTTTACATTTTCGCTGTCATGAATTTTCGCTGAAGGTTCCTTAAAGCAGTTTTTTTGCTGAAATCACTTCTGAGATACCACCATTCTTCTTATCAAAATCATTTTCCTCATTTAAATAGATATGTTCACTAAGTCCCTCTTGCTTATTAGTTTTCTAAAAGGCAAAAGTTTAAACATTCCAATACAGCTAGCTCTTTCTTTGTTTTCAGTGTACTATTTTTTATTCTCTGGTCCCTTTGCAAACACTGCTTGTATAGACCTTGTGATTAGCTTTAAAAGAACATGTTTTTATTTTTCCAGTGTGAGGGAAGGTTGATAATGCTACAGTGATACTTTTGCAAATAAGGCCAGCAGAGAAGCACACGTGTGCACACACATACACACCCAGAATCAGATTGTCAGCATAGGAAGACCATTCTGGTTACAATATAGATGATGCTTTGACAGGGAAATGAATCATCAGCTATTTCTTCTATTAACTTTATGTTTGATTCAAAATGTACTTCTAGCCATTGTCACTTTTTCTTTGTGCTTATACCTGTGTTGGTCAATTCCTCTTTAATTATCCACTTTTCTCAAATGTTACATTTATAACAATGTTTTTCATCTGGCCCAAGGAAGCAATGCATCTCCATGCTTGGCTGTCTGTGCATGAACACACAGTAGTCGGTCTCTGAGGGACTTTGAAAGAAGTGGCAGTGAGTGGCTAGTCCCTGATCCCGGTGTACATTTGTTACAGAAAGGCGTACGGGCTGAAAAGCTCTCGGGGGAGTTTGTGCTTCATGCAATTCTCAGTTACTAAACCACGGTAGGTAGAGTAACAGTAAGATATTTCTTTTTGGTCCTTTTTCCACATACTTTCTGAAGTCCCCTTGTATGTGTATGCTTTAAACTAGGGAGATTAATCCTTTTCCTGTATTCCAAGTATCCTTTGTTTTCATTTCCTGAAATTTCATAGGATGTTTTATTCACTACACAGAAAGTTAATTTTATATAGATAAACTTATTAAAGCTTTTATATTTACTGGATTTCTTCACGATGGTTTGAAAGGCTATTCCCAAGTCAAGATGTTGAATTTGTCAATATTTCTCTTCCAACACCTAACACTGAGTTTTATTGATAATATTTAAATTTTTGTACCATGTAAGGTCTTATTAGAGGATACAGTATAAAGCACAGATTCATAAGGGGGAGAGAGGAGGAGAGGAAGGGGGAACCGATGACAATGATGGACACATAACCACACATACACACACATCCCAGAGGGGGACGAACAACAGAAACCATGCAGGAAGGGAGACAGTGGTTGGTGTAAGATAGGAAAATAATAATTTATCATTTATCTGGGGTCACGACGGTGGGAGGGAGGGGAAAAGAAGGAGCTGATATCAAGGGCTCGAATAAAAAGTAGGTGTTTAGAAAATAATGATGGCAACATGTATAAATATGCTTGATACAATTGATGTACGGATTGTTTATAAGAGCTGTAAGAGCCCCCAATAAAATGTTTTGTTTTTTTTAAAAAAGTACAGCTTCAGCAATCTACATTGTTTTCCTGGTGTCCTGACAATATTTATTAAGGAGATTATCTTTTTCTGTGATACAGTCTTTATTGTAGTGCATCTGTCCATACTGGCTTATTCTAACTCATCTGTTTCACTGCACTGTTTTTAGTCTGTATGCACCTGTCAGCGACTGCTGTCAGTCACCATTGTGTTGACTGGGGTTGATAGGCTTTTCTTCTGTGGAGGGGCTCATTGGGTTCGAATAGCAAACTTTAAGTCAGCAGCTCGTGGCATATTGCTTATGCCACCAGGTTCCTCATATGTCAGTTACACATTTAATGAAGGATGCTTTAAGGGTATTTTAATACACAACAGGGCCCTCTAAGTGGACTCCTTTTCTGAGCCCCTGTGGGCTTCTGCTAGCCCTCCATCACCAAATGGAACTTCAGAGTCAGTTTGTAAAGTCAAGGAAAACCGAGAGCTTCGTGACCACGACATCTTCCCATCAAAAAGCATAGGGAGCTCCCTTTCGTTCATCGGTGCAATCAGAATGCGTCCACAGTGTCAGGTCTTGAAAACGGCCCTCTCTTGATACAAATACAAGGGGGTCAAGTGCTTGTAGAAAGGTGAATCAAGAGAATAGAATCCCCAGGAACTTGCTGCACACTCTTCTGAACCATGGCTATCTCCATGGAATCCCCGGAACTTGCTGCGCACTCTTCTTGAACCACGGCTATCTCCATGGAATCCCCCGGAACTTGCTGCGCACTCTTCTGAACCACGGCCATCTCCATCGTGCTAAGTCAGCTCCACTGCGCAAAACTGAGCTCCCGTCTCCACAGAGAAGAATTCTATTGCCAGCTCTTCCAGGATTCCTTCATGCTCAAAGGCACACAGTGACCGCAGTGCCTAAAAAATTATGTGTGTGCACACACTAGTTAGGGAATGACGGGATTTATTGGTGATTCTTTCAGCTCAACACATTTTTCTTCCTTTAACATGGGCATCATGGATTTCCGTAACAACCTCCTTGCCCTGGCTATAATGGTCTTAGATACATAGTCTAAGAAGTTCTTGCCCAATGATGATTTGAGTTCCTTATGCTGTGTTTCACTTATGGCAACATTTAAACTAATTTTCTCAGAATATTTGTAGTCAGTTCTCTCTTCAGCTGGCTTGTACTGACAGGATAATATAATAGGATAGGTTAATATTAAAATTAATATTAGTGTCAGTAAATAAAATTTGATAACTAAGTTTATTGTACATGGTTACAGTGATATAATTTAAGGCAAAAATAAATGATTTGGAAAACATATCACAATTTCCTACACGGGTATATAAAAGTAAGAATTGAAAATAAACACAAGCTTTACATAAGTACTGTCTAGTACTAACCTTGTTGTCCATCTGGCATAGTCACAATGATGGGCTGACCTATTCCACTGGTGGGGATCGAGTGCAAATTTCCGAGCTGGATTCCATCGGTAACGATGGTGATGACTTGCTGGCCGCCTGAACTAACTACTTGCTGAATTGCACCATCCACAGATTCTGCAGTCACTACTTCCTCCGTGGCCACGACTGGGGGAAAATGTATGAGAAAATCAGTGAACAAAAAAAGTACAAATAGAACCTTATTTTGCTTTTTTCCTGCTACCTTTGCTTCCTCTACTTCTTTCTTACACAGGAAAATTTCACATGGTTCCTAACTTCAGTCCCCACAGGTGCTGCAGGTGTCTACTCAACAGGTGACTTAAATACCCCTGTTTATAGGAAGTTAGTTTCCATGTATTGGAAATACCTTTGAAAGATCATTGAGTGATCTTTAAAAAATGCTTTCTAGATACAATATCTACCTACCAATGCATGTTAAGTAAATAATTTCCCTTTTACTTAGTTACATAAAACATAAAATCCTCTTACATACTTAGTTACATAAAGTATAAAATAAGGTCACAGATATGGCAAAGATTATACCTAACTAATAAAAGTCCACAGTCTAAAAGAGAACTTTGTTTGTGGTTATACTCCGTTTACAAAAGAATGTACAATGTATATATTTGAAGTAGACCAAAAAAACAATCTCTTTTGGGATTAAGTGATCAAAGGTTGCCTTGAAAATCAGTGGGACATAGATCTGACACAAGTATGACACTGACCAATACAACACATGAGCATTTATAGAAGCAGATATACTCTAATAGTTGATAAGACAGGCTGAGAGAAGAGTCTGGTAGTTGGAAACAGCACTTCTGGCTTTGTCTAAGTAAAATGAACCACAAGTTAATATTGCTAGTATCATTCACCACAGGCAATCTTGTGTCCAAATTCTGACTCTCAAACATATGTAAAGCAATGTTTATAGCAGCTCTCCTTATATTAGTGTAACACTAGAAACAACCCAGATGCACATCAACAGAATGGATTCTGGTAGATCCATGCATTAAGACACTATACAGTAATTGAAATGACTCCTGGGCATCCAACAAAAGCAGTGCTGACTGATCTGCGTACCTTCCCTTGACGGCCCAGTATCGACTGTGATCATTCACCAAACGGTAAACTTACCCAACAACCCAGCTACTTTTCTCTATGCATGTTACACTTCAATCAAAAAGAACCACCACAGGGACAATGAATTATACCACTTACATATTAACAATCTATTTACCTATAGTGATACCTTACGAAAAAGGAGGGAGTAGATACTCTTCTCCATAAAAGAATGACAATTAACAAACAAAGAATAACAATAGGAAAAATCATACTGAGACTTCCAACTTAATAACTCATGCTGGCAAGAATCACTGATGGTTACAAAGGGGAAATGTAGCTGTAAAGACACATTAGTCACTGTTTTACCACATGGAAAATACAAAGGGAAGTAAAAAAAAAAATATTCCTACAAAATCACAGAAACTTTCATTAAACAAAAATATCAAAATGGGAAGCTATTGCTTCTCAAAATAGCTTCCATCTAGGTCTTCAATTTATGGCATGTCAAAACAGGGGTTTGGCATATGAGAGGAAGCCAAACTGCTTGCCTTTCAAAATGCTTTCTGAGTTTGAGGATAAAAGGAAGTCTACAGTCTGATCAGAGCACACGGAGGACAGAGAGAGTGGCGCACATCCTGGCCCACCAAGCCTTGAGGACGATATTCCCGCTCAGAAAAGCCAAAGCACAGAGAGGACCATATGGCCGGCCCCACTACGAGACATGACATAACCTCACTGAGCCATAACCCTAAGGGAGACAACCCTGGAGACACAGTGTGGGAATTACGCCCTATCTGACCCACCACACCCAGGCAAAACAGTAAGGGTGTGCAACAGAACAGCAAGGGGAGCAGAACAAGGAAGACCCCAGGGAATATCAAAAATAGACTTTGGGACCAGGGCATGACACCCCATCAGACTCAACCGGAAAACACTCCTAAAGGTCAAAAAACAGACCTTGAACTATTTATAGGCCTTTTTTTGTCATTGGTTTGTTGTTGTTGTTATATTTTCTTTTGTTGCTTTGTTTTCCTGTGTCTCATTTTTGTACAGATTATTATCTCTGCAGGTCTATCTAGATAAGATAGGCAGGATAAACAATCTGGAGGAGAAAACAAGGGGACCCAAGGTTCCGGGGAGACAAGGGAGCGGGGGAGGTGGGAGAGAGGAAATGAGTGTTAACATCCCCAGGGACAAGGGAACAAGTGATCCAAAATCG